TATTTGGCTTCATGGTGACACACTACTTAGATCCGGAGCACAGGGGGGAGAAAACAGAAGGCTTATGCCACCTTTCCTATGCTCCATCAGGATTGTTAAAAAGGACAGTGAAGTGGGAACTGAAGCATAGTACGTAAACTCTACATGTAATTGAAGCTCAAGCATTGCGATTGGGGATGATTGGAGTGATTTCCGCAAAATTGATTTCCCTGTAAAATGACAGATTTTGCCATTGGCGAAATTTTGTTAAAGCAAAAATCTCAGTTGTGCTAATTAGGCTGCTAAGTTGAATTTTATTTAGAGAGATTGGGATTTTTTTTATGGGTGCATTTAGGGCCCTTCAGTTCATTTCATTCAGGGGTCCCTTTATAAACAATTTGCAGAGCCATTCACGTTGCGAATCCCTGTGAGCATTAGTTCTGTGCGAAGGCAAAAGAGGCAAAAACTAACGCTCTTCGTATATTTTCTTTTCAGGTTGAATGTAATGTAATCTAATACCAGATTATGGGCACTAGATGGAGCTAAGTACAATAATGAGACTAAGAAAAGGCCATTTTTTGACACAGACAAGTCCATGATAATCCGATTGGCTCATATTGCCTAAGCAACCAACTATGGCCTCTGCCTGCTCAGAGATTCCACCCAGGGCCATGGCTCAGACTTGAAAGCAATGATCACTTGGGAAACTGAAGTAGATTGAAGCTCCAGGAGGTACCATTTTTGACACAAGAATAAGTCCAGGATAATCTGATTGGCTCCTTTTGCCGGAGCAACCAACTATGACCTCTGCCTGCTCAGGGACTCCACCCAGGGACAAGGCTCAGACCTTGGAAGCAATGATAAGTTGTAACGGTAACCGTCGGCACCCTCCGCCCATGGATCACGGTTCCGCTGCGGCTTCCACGATGGAACGCAGAAGTCGCTTCGCTCCGACAAGCGGCTCCTCCCACTTCCTGGCCCTATTTAAAGCTCCAGCTGAGATAGCAACCACTATTGAAGTCAGAACGCCTGCTATCTCCTGGGACCCTAACCAGCACTGTACTTTTGCCACCAATCTGGAACTGGACTACTCTCCTGCAAACCTGCTCCTGCTAGATCAGGGGCGCCTACAATTTTTCATCTTGAGATCTACTTTTGAAATGACGAGCTCAATGAGATCTACCAACGAAAAAACACCTGCATTCAGGGGCGGGAGGGGGCGTGGCGGTGCATTGAAGTCAATGCACCGCAGCCATGCCCCCAGTGCAATCGCCGCACCAGGAATGCAGGCACATTAGTGCCTGTGTTCCGGTCCAGTGTGATCTGCAAACATGCTGCATATTTGTGCAGATCGTGCTGGATTGGAACGCAGACATTATTGTGCCTGCGTTCCGGGTGTGGGCGATCACACTGAGGGCGGGGGGCGTGGCTGCGGTGCCATTGACTTCAATGCACCTCCACTCCCCCTCCCGTCCCTGAACGCAGGGAGCCGGCCGGCTTGCTTTCCAATGCGTTCTAGATGCCGAACACTCTGGAACACAGCCTTTGTGGTGTGAACCGGCCCTCTCTCCTCATGCTCTCTCCTTGTGCTCTCCTCTGTTTCTATCTGCTGTCTCTTCTCTCCCTCTGCTGTCTCTTCTCTCACTTTCTCTGCTGTCTCTCTCCTGTCTGTCTTTTCTTACCTCCACTGCAGCAGCTTCCCAAGTCTCCTCTCTCTTTCCCGTCTGCGGTGTCTGACACATTCTCCAGCACCGCGGGAGGACAGGACACAGGTCAGTGAGCCGATCGCGATCTACCAGTGTTCGCTTTGCGATCTACCTAATGGGCACCCCTGTGCTAGATCATAAAACCGCAAGTAACCTGGTGCTAACAGCCCATCCTTGACTGTTACATACAAGCAATTTACATGTGTGGACTGTTGCTGATACCTCCTGTGAGGAATTTCTCAATTATTGTTTGATCTACATACATGTGCTCCAGTTTTAAGGTTATCGTGCCTTGTTGCCTATGCTAATATATACTCTTCTCTATATTAACTACTGAATATTAGTGTAAGGTGGTATGACGTAATATCCCTGCCTGAACCATAATATTACTTTGCGTGTGGCTGTGATGCTTGAGTCCCAAACTCTCCGCTGAGATTGAGAGTGACGCCAGGGACTCCAGCCTGAGAAGCCACCGCAGTTGTGATCCACGACCTCAGAACTATAGTAGGCGTGACATAATCGGGAAACTGAAGTAGGTTGAAGCTGCAGGAGGTAAGTAGACTATTGAGGCTAACAAGGGGCTATTTTTGACACAAGGACAAGTCCATGATAATCTGATTGGCTCATTTTGCCTGAGCAACCAACTATGGCCTCTGCCTGCTCAGAGACTCCATCCAGGGCCAAGGCGGAGACCCAAAAGCAATGATCATTTGCTAAAGTAAGGTGAAACTCCAGGATGTAAGTAGACTAATGAGGCTAATAAGGGGCCATTTTATGGACAACTCTCCCCTCTGGGCCCAATCAGTGGCAGCTGGAAGGAGGGGAGGTGGTCACAGATTTGAGTGTGCTTATGTGAACTCGGGTCCGATGGGTTTGCACCAAGCTCAGGCTCATCACTATCAGCCACACAAGGAGTGTATTGTTTTCAATCTGTCAATCTGACTGAATGAGTTGCACAGGTAGATGGAGCAGTAAAGCACAAAAACAGGTCCAGGATCATCTCTGATTTGCTCCCTTTGACTAAGCAACCAACTATGGCCTGTGTCTGCTCAGGGACTCCACCCAGAGTCAAGTCTCAGACCCAAAAGCAAGGATCATTTGGGAAGATGAAGTAGGTTGAAGCCCCAGGGGGTACGTAGACTAATGAGGCTAACAAGGGGCCATTTTTGACACAAGAAGAAGTCCGGGATAATCTGATAGGCTCCTTTTGCCTGCGCAACCAACTACGACCTCTGCCGTAGTTGGACCTAGACCTGGAAGCAATAATCAGCAACAAGAGGTAAGTAGAATAATAAGGTTAATAAGAGGCCTTTTTTTGACACAGGAACAGGTCCAGGATCATCTCTGATTAGCTCCCTTTGCCTGAACAACCAATTATGACTTCTATCTGCTCAGAGACTCCACCCAGGATCGTGACCTGGAAGAAGTGATCAGTTGGGTAGCTGAAGTAGGTTGAAGCTCCAGGTTGGGGGTAGCTGTTGATGTATGTAGACCATAGATCTATGCTAGTCAGGTATGCTTCATATCTGGAGTAGAGATCCCATTTATATGGAGAACCTTAGAGAACTTTTAAATGCAAGCTCGCCTGCAATGCTCAACCTTCAATAATGACCAGCTTACCCAAGACTGATATTGATATGTTTGAGTGGGCATTGGTGGTTTAAAGCAAACACTGGCATCTTATATCGGTGACTCTGCTGACCACACCTTCTTGTGGGATTTAGAGTCTTCACCTCTCCTCACAATGCAATAAAAAGGTGTCTCCAAATCTCCTAATCATTTGTAGCTCTACATGCCATCAGATGACCATTCTACTAACACTTGGTTTATAATTGCTGCAGCGATTGCTTCAAACTAGCCATTCAATTGGTAATATAAATCATCCCCGGTTCCCCTGAGAGCGTGACTCAATCTGCCCACGCAAAATCAAAATATCAATTCTGGCTCAAGCTGAACGTTAAATACATATAAGCACTTGAAGTGATACCCTGTCAATAAAAAAAAAAACCACATTAAACAGGCAAAACAGGTAGAAATTTGGCACCACCGAATAATTACAAGCTCGTCTGTTTTATATTTACAATTATCATCACTTAAAGTGGACCTGTCACCAGGGCAGCTATTTTTTGGAAACTTTTTTTCATTGGCATGCAGACAGTTGGGAACTTTCAGTTCATTGCCGAGGCTCATATTTAAAGTAGCCAGGAGAAGAACAGTTTTTGTTTTATTAATAGAGGTCAATTTGATTGCGTTTTATTAAATATTCCCCGTCCAAACATGAAGAGGAGCTTGGGGCAACATATTTTTTACCACCTACTGTGATTTAATTAGGCCCAGAGGAAATGAGACGTATGCCTTCATATCAAGTTCACAATAAAGAGAGACTATAGACTTTTTTTTGCTTTTGGATACAATGGAAAGATTTAACTGTGTAACTGGGGAGATATTTCTTCACTTCATGTTCTGGAGAAGGTGGTCACTGGCACAGAAGTATAGGGTCATCTCCTCACCAGGGATACAGATTGTAAGGAAACCCAGTTAGAGAAGAGGGGGTAAGGGTTAGAGCCTCTTTTTTTTATTAGTTGAGGTTTGCCTTAGAGTTAAAGGAGAACTATGGGGTTAAGTCTTTCCCCCATAGTTCTCCTTAGGGTAACGGGAGGACACAAACTAGCGTCCTCCCGTCACCCTAGGCTCAGTATACCGCGAGCTGTAGCTCGCGGTATACTGAGATGCCGCAGCTGAAGCGGATCCTGACAATTGTGCCGGGATCCGCCCAGCTGCGTGACTGACAGCTGGCTCTGCCTATCTAGAGGCAGAGCCAGCTGTACCCGCCCCCTCCCCGTCCGTTCCGCCAGTCAGCGCTGGCGGATCGGGGAATCCAGCCCCTCCCCTGTCAGGGCAGAGAGCCGTGACAGGATCGAGAGGTGAGTGAACGCCGGTATGTGTTCGCTCACCTCCCGATCCACTGAGCCGACCTGTGAAAGTCTTATTGTCACGGGTCGGCTAGAACTATGAGGTGAGTGAAAAGCACTCACCTCATAGTTCTCCTTTAAGGGTAAGCCGAAGAGCATTTCCATGTTTCGAGGAACACCCTCAAGATAATTTAGATCATTTGGCTGACCAAAAACTCAGCCGTAATCAAAAATTGACCTCCTGAGTCTTAAGTTGCATCTCATCCAGAGCATCTCACTTTTTCTTTCCAGGAGGATAGAAAGTTGGAACTCCTCTCTTGCAATTGTTAAGGGTAAGAGGAGTTCCCAAAACATGGAACCCCCTTAGAAGACTTAGGAAAATTACACCATAAAAGACAGGTCCACTTTAATCTTAACTTTACAACACTGCTTTCAACATATGAGGGTGGAAATATTTAGAATCTTATACAATCACAGACAGCATTATGCCACACTGTAGGAGTTGGTGGTATCTATACACTTCTCCGTGAAGTTAACTTTTTTAGTCGGAAAGCCGTTGAGGTCCTCCTGGACAGTGAGGTCATGGTCGGGACTGTCGTGCGAACTGTCTTTCATGACGCTGTAATAGACGGGGACGTTGTATTTGGCGGCCTTTTCTGTCCTTTTCGGGTCGCATTTGCACAGGTTCTTGAAGGCCGCCCTGAACTTCTGAGACATGAGGTTGTAGATAATGGGGTTGATGGCGCTGTTAAGGTAGATGCACATTCGGCAGAAGAGCAAGAACCAGACGTTGAGATAAGGCGGATCCATGAAGGAGTTCACCACCACCAGGGTACGATAGGGCATCCAGAGGAGGGCAAACAAGATGACCACGACGGCCAACATCTTGGTGACCTGTCGGAGAGACAAACGGGCAAGCTTAGTGCAAAGGCTTCAGTGGCAATATTGACACCAACTTTTACACTCCAGTTAACTTTGTTTAAAACATTGATCACACAAGCTTTGTTCATTTAGGGCATAATCCACGTTCCCAGTGTTCAATAAAAGACCACGTAGCCCTCACTTTTCTTTTCATCGTATTATAATGATTACCATTGTCAACCCTCTGGGAGAAACATATAAAGGCCTACTCAGAGAACGGCTGTACTGACTTAGAATCCAGTGTAATTCATTAAGACAGATTTAGGCTACATAAAGGCGGCATATGGGGAAAACGCACTCTCCATCAATATTCCTCTTAACAAGAATGTAATGTGTGGATTTTGCAGAATTTGAGTTCCTTTAGCGGTGGTTATCTTAAAGCGACTTGGGCGCTGGGTAAAGCAAATGTTTTTATTGTTTTTTATTGATGTGACTTTCACATGCATGCCCTTTGATTGTATTATTGTGGTAAATGTGAAATTTGAGGTTAGTTACATGAAGTTGAATAGGGTAACTATCATACAACCTCTCTGCTTAACACCTATTGAAGACATCAGCCACTAGAGATGAGGCTGGGCTTGGTGTGAACCCAGTTCGCCTGAGTTCACCCGATAAAAACTGTGACCACCACTCTCCCCTTGGGGGCCCAATCAGTAGCAGATGTGGCGTCCCTTTGTGACGTACAGCTGTGGGGGGCAGAATACGTCTCTCTGCAACTGATTGGGCTGGAAGGAGGGGAGGTGGTCACAGGATGTGCTTATGTGAACTTGGGTCAAATGGGTTTGCACCAAGCCCAGGTTTATCACTATCAGCCACACAAGAAGTGCATTGTTTTCAATCTGTCAGCTGACTCAATTACTTTCTCGGGTAGAAGGAGCAGTAAGGCACAACCATTATGTAGCTCTAAAAAGCAGTAAGCAGAACCTGCACGTGTAATGAGCAAACATGGCTTTCCCCATGTGTATGTATATACTTCAATGCCATGCATATATAATTACGGACTATTAATAGTTACAAACAAAACCTAAAGGGTTTTAGAACAGTCCTTATTTATCAGTGGACGGGCCCTGTGCGTCAGCAGAGCAATGCATATTGGCAGATGCAGGTTGGAAGATTTTTTTTTTTTGAGTTTCTTGAACATATATACTATTTTTTGTCTCTATAAATTGCCATTTCTATCACGTCTGTTCTGCTCCTTCTTTTTAAATGACATAAAACGTTCCTCTAACTATCCAGGCTGATAGCTGAGCTTTTAGAATTTCTTTGCACAATCCCACAATTCTTATCACAAGTTTAATATTGTGCGGCGTTAAAATTATTTTCTTGTGTTATCTCTTCTCTTTGAACATGAGCTATGAAGACTCAGAAATAATTAGCTGCTATGCTACAGCTGTGATTCTGTACCGGAACATCAAAAAAGTAAAGTTACCCACGAATGTTTAGTATCTGAGGTACAGTATAGGAGCCCAGCGTCTCCTTCCTTTTAAGTTTCACAAGATGCCATTTTCATGAAGTTACAAATAATGGGAGGGACATTCTCGGGATATTAACGGTGTCCAGAAGCATTGGAAAATGTTTGCTTGATGCTGGTGTTTGTGGTCAGATTAGCAAAAGTTGGCATGTATGTAGGATCACAAGGCCATGGAAAGTTTGTACATTTGTAGGACTCACATGACCATGGACAGTTTGTAAATTTGTGGGACTCCCATGACCATGGAAAGTTTGTATGTTTGTAGGACTCCCATAACTATGGAAAGTAAGTACATTTGTAGGACTCCCATAACTATGGAATGTTTGTACATTTGTAGGACTCCCATGACCATGGAAAGTATGTACACTTATAGGACCACCATGACCAGGGAAAGTATATACATTTGTAGCATTCCCATGACCATGGAAAGTATGTACATGTGTAGGGCTCATATGACCCTGGAAAGTTTGTAAGCTTGTAAGACTCCCATGACAATGTAAAGTATGTACATTTGTATGACTCCCGTGACCCTGGAAAGTTTGCACATTTGTAGGACTCACATGACCATGGAAAGTATGTACATGTGTAGGGCTCATATGACCCTGGAAAGTTTGTACATTTATAGGACTCCCTTGATCATGGAAAGTTTTTATATGATTGTGAGACCACCATGGCTCTGGAAGGTTTAAATGTTTTTAGTACCACTATGATCCTGAAAAGTTTGTACATCAGTAGGCCCTCCATGACGCTGAAAAGTTTGTATGTGTAATACCACCCCCCAGGGGTGAACAAGGTCCTTGGACCACAGCTGTGGAATTGGCTTTAGAACGGGTATCAGATCGCAGCTCTACCTCCGATGCCCAAGGTTTTGATAAGGCCTGGAGAGAGCTGCTTCACATCACACCCCGTTTAGCACAAAGACCCCTGCGTTCACCGTTAAGGTAGGTCTTCAGGGTGAAGCAGGTGGTTATATTATGGGTTAGACTAGCAACTAGCTTGAGGCCACAGATATATGATATCCCCTTGTGACACGGAAGACAGATTTAGGCAGGCATATAGCTATGATGCAGTATAATCGGTTACCAAGCATACAGGTGATTAGGCATACGGCTCTGAGATAGGTTCATTTGCAGTACAACAGACAGTTGAGTAGGCATATAGTAATGCTATAGGTTAGGTTGCAATACAGCAGACAGTTGAGTAGGCATATAGTAATGCTATAGGTTAGGTTGCAATACAGCGGACAGTTGAGTAGGCATATAGTAATGCTATAGGTTAGGCTGCGATACAGCAGACATTTGAGTAGGCATATAGTAATGCTATAGGTTAGGTTGCAATACAGCAGACAGTTGAGTAGGCATATAGTAATGCTATAGGTTAGGTTGCAATACAGCAGACAGTTGAGTAGGCATATAGTA